AGGGGGACGGGGGGCCCCGCCAGACCCTGCCCGGCGCCGAGCTGGCCGCACGGGCAGGACCGTGCTGGGTGGGCGCAGCTGCCCGCCCCCGGGAGCCCTGCCCCGTCCCCCTTCCTGAGGGCGCCTCTCTTCCTGCAGCAATACCTGCGGCCGGTGGAGGACGTGGCCACCTCTCAGGACGACTGCTACAAGTTCGCCATCTCCCAGTCCTCCACAGGCACCGTCATGGGCGCCGTTATCATGGAGGGCTTCTACGTGGTCTTCGACCGTGCCCGCAAGCGCATCGGCTTCGCTGTCAGTGCCTGCCACGGTGAGGGCTGGGCCCGGAGGGGGGCGGAGGGGATGTGGACAGGCAGCAGTAGCACGGTGGCCAGAGCCCTGCCTTCTCCCGCCCACAGTGCACGACGAGTTTCGGACGGCCGCAGTGGAGGGACCTTACCTGCACTCCAACATGGAGGACTGCGGCTACAACATCCCGCAGACGGACGAGTCCACCCTGATGACCATCGCCTACGTCATGGCAGCCATCTGCGCCCTCTTCATGCTGCCCCTCTGCCTCATGGTGTTCCAGTGGCGCTGCTTCCACTGCCTGCGGCGGGACCACGACGACTTCGCCGATGACATATCCTTGCTGAAGTGACGGCGGAGCGTGGGGGCAGCCCCGGGGGCCGCAGGTGAGGCAGCAGGGCAGGGAGAGGTAGGTCCTTTCTCCGGGGGCTGGAGCGTGGAGGCAGGGCAGCAGCGTGGGGAGCTCAGACCCTCAGCCCAGGCCCTCCTGGCCCTGGGGGACTCGGTGCCCGTCAGGGCCAGCGGGCCGGGAGCAGCCGAGGGAGCCCCAGGCCCGGGCTGCGTTCATCTGGGACCTACAGAAAGAGCGTGGCAGCTGGGGAGGGGGGTGGGAGCGCAGCAACCCCCTCCCGGGGGCTGGGGGCAGCTTCTCTGCTCCAGCACCAGGGTGGGCTGGGCTGTCGCAAGCTCTCCTGCCCAGCCCTGCCAAGCTTGACGGAGTCACGCTGACGAGCCATCCCCTGCCTGGCCCCTGTCTCCTTCTGTCCCCGTGCAGCTGCCCTTCTCAGCCCGCTCCGCCGGGAAGCCGCCGGCCCCGGCTCTCCGCGTTGTAGGGAGCTGTTGCGTGTGTGCATGCGCGCCGCGGCCGTGTCTTCCCCGTGTGGCTCCCTGCCCAGCACGCCTGCCTGAGCTGGACTCCAGAGTTCACACCTCCGGAGCCTCCCGTCCCCAGCCCCGGGCTTCTCGGAGACAGCCACGCAGGGCCAGGCTGGGGCTGCCCGGACAGGAGCAGCCGGAGGCAGGGGTTTCCCTCCCATCCTCCTGCTCCCCCGTACACCACCCGCTCTAACGTTTCCCGTGGCGTTTCCCCTGCCCTCCCAAACTGTCCTTCCGCTGCCGCCAGCCCCAGGACTCCCTGCGCCCACCCCACCCTCGCGGTTGCCTCCCGGGGCAGGCAGGAGCAGGCACCCGTCCTCTCCCCACTCCGCTTTCGCTCGCCCCTTTGGGGACGGGAAACTGCCTCGCCTCCCTTCCAGCGTCAGCGGCGCCCGGCACGGAGAAGACAGGG